TATGTGTAGGTGAAATTGATTAATTAGTTAGTTTGTTATTAATTAAAATGGATTAATTAATTAGTTTGATTTGACATAATTTAGATAACATTTCTATTACAAAAATTTCTTGAATTAATTTCCAATATTGTTTTTTTTTTTCAATCAAAAAGTTTTAATAATATTAGTATGTTTAAAGCTTTAAAAAATTAAAATTAGAGATATTTTCTATGTGTGTTTGTATTTATATACACATACAGAACTTTAATTACTGGTGCATTTCAATTCTTTGATAAATGGTAATTGATGAAAAGACCAACTTATATTGTTTTACTGTCATTTGTGTTTCATGTGCATACTCCAAATGACAATGTTTCTAAAATTTCCATGTTTCTGGAAATTCTGTGTAGATAGCATGTTTGAATTTTCCATGAAAATCTAAGTTTTTTTTTTTTTTTTTTTTACATGCCTTACAAAATTAAAATGAAATGAGCAATCAGGGATTTACATGCATATAATATATGTGTATATATATATATATTTTATTGTTTGCATTGCTCTTATATATGCAAAGACATGTTTCTTTTTCCTTTCTTATATATACTGAGCAAGCCATACTTCTCTTACATGTTGATGACAATGTTAGCAATTAGACCATACCATTCTACTTAGCAATGCAACATAGGAAAGGGTTCATTGCCATGTTCATGAAAACATTGGAAGTATGCATCATAAGGACTAAAAATATATGTAGTACCATAAAAACTATAAAAAAATGTTTGCAAGTTTATATATCATTTTATTTAGTGGTGTTTAATGTAAGTTCAGTTTATCGGTATTAACAGGTATAATTTGAACTCTTGTTATGTATTTGGTAGAATGATTTTGGACTTCAGAAATTTGTTTTGTTTTTTAAATGAATGAATTTTAATTTTGTTTTTATAATTACATTTGAATTTCATATTTAGTAGTTTCATTTATGCAGACAATTCTTTTTTTTTTTTTTTTTTTTTTTTTTTGAATTTTAGATAGAAGAGGCTGGAAAAGTTAAAAACAATCACAAACAGTCTTCCTGCGGAACTAATTTTTTACAGAAAAGTATGTGCATCTTATTTTTAATTTACATGAGGTACATTATTTTGATGTTTTCAAGAATTTTACTTCTCTTTTTGTGTGGGTGCGAGTGTATCTGCAACATTTTATACTTATGCTTTTAAAGATTTGCCTTATTAAAAGTGTGGGTGTGTAAAGAAATATTTTAATACTAAAATAAATACTAAAACAAATGAATTATTACATTATATATAGATTAACAGCATATATGTGCATTATGTAGTATTATATTTGCTATTAATTCTTGTAGAGAAAATTATAATAATTATGGATAATTGTAATTTTTTTTTTTTTTTAAACAGAAAATTAGTATCAAGCACTGTCGATCTGCATGGCCTCCATGATAAAATGAGGCCATTGCAATTCTTCAAGGACGTTTTAAAACAGATTCCAACACTAATTACTTTAAAGTTATCACAGGCAAAGGAAACCATTCCATTATCAAATTCCCATTCTGAGGAATGCAGTGGAAAGATTCTGCATGGAAAAGAATTATGTGTAAGTACTCATTACCTTTTAAGTGTAGGTGAAATTGATTAATTAGTTAGTTTGTTATTAATTAAAATGGATTAATTAATTAGTTTGATTTGACATAATTTAGATAACATTTCTATTACAAAAATTTCTTGAATTAATTTCCAATATTGTTTTTTTTTTTTTTTTCAATCAAAAAGTTTTAATAATATTAGTATGTTTAATGCTTTTTAAAAAATTAAAATTAGAGATATTTTCTATTTGTGTTTGTATTTATATACACATACAGAACTTTAATTACTGGTGCATTTGCATTCTTTGATAAATGGTAATTGATGAAAAAGACCAACTTATATTGTTTTTTACTGTCATTTGTGTTTCATGTGCATATTCCAAATGACAATGTTTCTAAAATTTCCATGTTTCTGGAAATTCTGTGTAGATACCATGTTTGAAATTTCCATGAAAATCTGAGTTATGTTTTTTTTTTAAATGTCTTACAAATGGATTAAAATTGAAATGAAATGAGCAATCAGGGATATACATGCATAACATTTCTATATACAAAGACATTTCTTTTGCAAGTCCAGATTTTTTGCATTTTTTCTCAGTTTTAATTTATTTTTATCCTCTTATTCTATTTTCAGCTTTCAAAAAGAAATGTATAATGAAGATGTTGTAGATTGTTTGTATTTATATACACATACAGAACATTACTCTGCATTTCATTTTTTGATAAATGGTCTTTGATGTTAGAATTTTATCTTATCCTTCATTTGTGTTCAAAGTGCATGCAGCCCCAAACATCAATGTTTCATTTTCCATGAAGGTCTGCATGTGCCAAATCATGACTTTGAATTTTTGAAAGTCATTATGTACATCAAATAAATGTCTTAAATTGTAAAATTGAAATGAAATGAAATGTTCATTTAATGCATAAATAGTGTCTATGTACAGAATGTTTTTTTATCAGTCATATTATTGAAAAACCTCCATTTAAAATTTTTTTTTTCTGTATTTTTTTCATTTTTTCTACTGAAATGTATAAAAATTTGATTCTTTCCAAGAATATGTTTATTGAACTGTGTGTATAATTATGAATGTTTATTTTTCTATCAATCATCTATTAGCATATGTTTTTTTTTTCACATTTGTATATTTTTATATTGTAAAGATTTATTGGCAAACATTTTATTACAATTTTTTTGGGGTGCAATGTACACCCACCTCCTCGTGGTGCACCCTGGGCAACGTTCTATACGGCTAAGTGGTCTACAGTTTTCGGCATTAGTTTTCACTTCTAACCTAAACTTCTTCTGGTTGGCCCGCATGGATTGAAATGGAATGCTGGTGGCTTGTCTCACTAAAACAAGAACTGATCTAATGAACGCATTACATTTTTTTTTGACGAACCAAACTGCATTCTTTGCGATTTGGTGGAACTGATGAGTATGGCTGATCTCCATCATAGCTTTGCTCTTGATGGCATCCGAGATACTGGGAAGCTGGAGAGCTCTTGAGGCAATGACTTCGCCCAACTTCAACAAAGTTAACATCAACATGTAAAAGAATTTTTTTTTATATGCATTTTCTTCTTTATTTTGTATTTTTCCCATTTTTGTATTGCCTTGCCATTGGAAATAATATTCCTGTTTTTTTTTAAACTTGAATTTTACATATTAAGAAAAATGTACTTTTTTTTTTTTTAAGACACTGGTCATGTTTAGGTATTAGTACTAAATGATGATGATTCTATGTATTTCTATCTGAATTAGTGCATAATAGTTTTATTATTTGAGATGAAAAATATTTTAATTGGAATGTTGTCTTCTATGTACAGAAATTATTTTATTTATGTACATTATGGGAGAAAACTCATTTAAAATTATTTTTATCTATAAAAATATTCTTTTGTAAAAAAAATTTTTTTTTTTTTTCTTCTTCAAAATTGCCTGTGGTAAGATAATCATTTCACTAAATCCTACAGGAAAAATTTCCTTTCCTTAAAGACCACCAGAGGGAGTTGGTGGTCTTAAGGAATTATCCTTTTGTTAATTCCCTTCCTTTAGAGCCTCCAATTTAAAGAGACCATTGTGATTCATTAAAATTACTTGTTGAAGCAAGACTCACTTTTGCAGAATTGGACACTAGATTTTACTCTGTAAATCAAAATTTGAAATGGATACACATACATATTTGCTTTGCCAAATGAGGTGTGTATTTGTGGTGGTTGTATTATTGCCTGCACAGTAATAAAAGTAATGTAATTAATATAAGTAATTAAAAGTTATAAATAATAAAATTCACATTTATTGAATGTATGTTTAATTAAGCTTCAGACTATAAAATTAATGATTATATTCAAATGCCAATGAATGATTATTACGTTATTGGTTTGCAGTCTGATTGCCTAAAATATTAGCTAATTTAGGAATATATAAAATATTGTTTTTTTTTCCTTTATATATTTTGCAAAAATGCTTATTGATTTTCATTATTTTCAGATCTTTTGAACAGTCTAAAACTTCTATAAACAGATGTGTTAATTCTTTTATAATAAATTGACTTTATTTAGTTTTCTTCGGAAATATAATAATATTGATATATATATATAATGGTATTTGTGTGTTGCTAAAAATTTACTACCATATTCAATCATTTCTTTTCCAGCAAGTATCTTTTTAACAGCTTGAAAGCTAAATGGGAGCCAGAACTTTCTATAAAAAGTTTTTGCCAATAATTGTTCTGATAGCCTTGATTTTATTTACAATAGATTACAAGGCTATCTACTTTAAATCATCCTTTATCTGATTCCTATTTACTCTTATTTGAAAATTATAAAAATTAAGAAATAATTATTATTTAAGCAGTTTTTCAGTTGCATGAGAGGATTTGTAGGAAGGCAAGTTTATAAGAAAATTAATTGCGAGTTAGTAGCTTCAAAAGAATCTTGAATAAGAAACGGATAATTGTGAAATTAAAGATTATTTAACTGTTATTAACAGAGGTATTTTAAAATTGCCCACACAATTTGTTGATATTGTTCAAACTTGCATAATAGTTTTAAAATTATTAGCCATAAATATGAAAGTATATATTTAAGAGTGTATAAATCAGAAATATTTATTAGAACAATTAGTTCTTGAAAAGTTACATTGAGTTTCTGGAATGTTGTTGTTTCTTATCCCACTTGGCTGGCCAAGCCCACGAGCCCATACATACTCATGATTGAAGGGGAAGGAAGCAGCTTCTGTTGTGATGGAGCACCCGTAGGTAGAAGTCTGACTTTGGCTCCGTGACGCTCTTACAGTCATAAGGCTTAAAGTGGATTCCGAACCACTACAAACATCCATGGCATCGCCGTGATTCGAACCCGAAACCTGTGGCACCGGCGCTAGACACTCGGCCATTCAGGTCCCAAATTTGTGAATGCCAACGGCACGCGGTGTTCCCAGGTGGTCACCCACCCAAGTAATGACCGCGTCCAATGCTGCTGGGGATAAAAGCTCTCTTTGGCTCAGGTGCCCCTTTCCCACCCACCCTCGAATGACTTGACTTCGGTGATCGAACGAGAACCGGTATATTCAGCATGGTATGGCCGTTGGCTGGAATAGAATATATATGTATCTGTACAACCAAAGCCGAAATTTTAAATAAGCATTTTTATCTGTTACAGCTAATATTTTTATTAATAACTATGTTAAAGTAAGAAATTAATAAATTAAGATATCAAATAAAAAAAAAATTGTCAACTTCAACATCTGAATAATATAATGAAAATGTTTTATAGCTAGTTTGAAAATGTGTTAATATAATTACATGTGGTATATAATAGCATGCATTTTTGTATATTTGTTTTAGAATAAAAATATTTGAAAATTTATTAATATGCATTTTGGATTCATTATGTATTTAATTATACATATATTTTGATTGAGAATTAGATGATTAGTTATTTTATGTTTAGGATTAGAAGTTTTTAAAGTAACTATTTTGTATAAGATTAATATAAAGCGATAATGGCCAAATGATTTAGTTTAGTGTTTGACTAGAAATATTCTGGCATTCATTAAGCTGTAATTTTTGGATGTCCCAAAATTTTCACTGAAACTAACTTTTCATACTTTCTATCAATATAAACGCTATGAATTTTCAAATTATAATCATGCGAGAAAGTTTTAAAAAATTGAGTTTCCTTTACCTATGAATAAGATAATGTTGACTTAAATTATGTTTCCTTGAAAAGCTTTTACCACAAATTTCACAAGCGTAGGGTTTTCATTCGTATGAATGCGGACATGTACCATTAAATTGTGCTTCATTGAAAAAGTTCTACTACATATTTCACAAGCATAGGGTTTTTCTTTTGTACGAGAAAGATAATGATGATTTAAATTCTGTTTCTGAGAAAATGCCTCACCGCACATTTCACAATCATGGGATTTCTTCTTTGTATGAGTAAGATAATGTTTTCTTAAGTAATCCCTTCGTGAAAATGTTTTAGAGCACATTTCACAAACATAAGGTTTCTCTGCGCTGTGAGTACTGCAATGCCTACTTAAATCATTCCTTCGTGAAAAAATTTTATTGCATGTTTCACATACATGAGGTTTTTCTCTTTTGTATGAGTAACACAATGATTTTTAAATCCTGTATGTGTGAAAAGCCTTGCCACACCATTTACAAATATAAGGTCTCTGTTTTGCAGCAGCACCAGGTTCTTTTTGTCGAATCATTCTTTCGTGAAAAAAAGATTGACTTTGTTTCTCACAAACATTGGGATTTTCTTTTGATTCAACCAGATTACATATTTTTAAATTATTTTTGTTTTCAAATGTTTTTCCATGTCCATCGCATGTATTACATTTTTCACTGATGTGAGTAACAGAACATTTATTAAGAACAAAAACTTTAGATAATAATTCGCTAGGCTGTTTCAAGATTGATGAATTAGCCATAATAAATTAAAAGTCATTTTAAAACTGTTTCCTTAATATTATTTCGCATTAACGACAGACTTGGCGGTTTTTAAGTGTTGCCAATCTTTATTATTTGGAATAAAAATATTTTGAAAGCGTTTTTGATTTTAAATGAAGTGTTTCATATATATTTTATTATTTGGAACAAAATTTTAAGTGTAGATTGGCGCCAAATCTGTAGCTGCGGTTGGCGCGTGTGCTCTTTATTGGCGCAACTGTCGCCAAGGTACCGTTAATACCTAAGTACCTATTGTTTAAAGGCAAGATTTTTGTTTATATCTCTACAAATGAAAAGTTCAAACTATAGCATATAGACCACATTTTTCTCATTTGATGAGATCTGATTAAAACTATTGTGATGAGAAATGATATGCAGTTTCATTTATTTTACTATTCATGAAATATTATAGGTGGGACCTTCGTAACTTAATGGAAATACCAAAATTTTTAAAAAATCATCTGCTCCACATAATATGTTACATTTTATCACTGCCACAAGAAATCATATGAACTGAGTATATTTATTACAGAGATGAAGTAAAAACTTTTGTAAAAGATATATTTTTGCAACAAGTCATATGAAGGCTTCGCAAATTTTCGGAACTCAATCACTCTTGAGCTAAAACTCATCAAATAAAAATTTATCTATAATATCAATAAATTTTAAATATTATATCATATATGATAATCAAGCCATACTTTATAACATCTTTTAATCACGTTAAACTTTTTAAAGGGAGAAAAAAAGTTATCAAATAAATAAAACCTACACCAGTAATGGATAAAATATAATAGTTCTATTGGAATATACCATCACTGATGTCTTTTCAGAATGTAATTTCAGGTTTTAATTTTCATTTCATCTAATTTTATTGTAAACTTCTCTTTCTAAATAATTTCATATGCTGAAAATCTACAGCGATTTGAAGAAATGTTTTGAACACTCTTGAATGTTTGTTTAGATTGTTTTGAATGATAGAAATGTTCTTAACACTCTTGAGTTTTGAAACCTATAAGATTTTAACAAATTACCAATAATTTCATTTGACTTGACTTGATGTTTTGAGATATATGTTAACAATATTTACCGTTTAGAATACACTAAAAGCGGTATTGAATGTCAACAAACAACGTGTTGCCAATCTAAGACAAAAGTATAATATTGGTTAATGTATTGTTGTTCGCTTTTAAAAATATTAATAAGTGTTCATATAAATCTGATTCACAAATAATGAAGATCAATAACAACGTTATTAAATAAGATTTTTGAATACAACGTGCTTTTTCATTTTAGAGGCAATACAATATAAACTAGCTGATGTGATTAATCATTGCTTTAATTGCAATAAGATATGACAAATAATGTATATATATGATGATATAATAATAATTGGAATACTTTTTATTTTATTTTAAATAGCTTTTATTCGCATTGAAAAAATTGCAAACAAAAGAAGTTCAATTTAAAAATATATATATATGATCACAAATATAAATTACTCTCTTCTAGTTAAAGTTTTTTTTTTTTTTTTAATGCAGTGGGCAATACAGAGACAGTTATCTTTATGCGATAAGCAAAGGCATCACCGCCGTTACTCATAGCACTAGCCATGAGGTGCTTGTAGCTTGAAGATAAGCTACGGACGTGGAGTAACAATATCCCCGCAACGCTCTACGATCCTGTTAGACCGGGCTTTACAGTGGATTCCGAACCACTATAAACATCCATCGCAACGCCGGGACTTGACCCAAAACCAGTGATATCGAGTGCTAGCGCTAGCCACGCGGCCATCAGACTCTCTATTTAGTTATTCCAAGTTATAAATTAAAATTATTAGACCCCCTTTAAAAAGTTTAAGTGAGTGTTGTCCATGTAGAATAACTATACGCATAATTGATAGATTTTTTCCTTGCGTTTATACGAAATCTTCTTTTAAATTTATTAGAATGAAAAGAAAACTTCTACATAAGATAAAATTCCATCTTATTTCTGTCAACTTTCTATACATTTATGCTACATCGGGAACAAGACACAGCATAAGCGTGAGACATAATATATAAAAACTTTAAATCAATATAATCTCATTAATAATATTAGAATTTTTTTCTTTATATTAGATGCAAAATATAATAAAATAACTTGTAAAAATTACACCACGCATGACTTATTTGTATTGTAAACAAATAAGTCTGACACGTATAATCTACACGTCTGACTTATTTGTACTGTAAAATCGCAGCTGTGAAGTGTTGCATAAAATTAAATTTGAATACTTTGAAAATTCAAAAAATATAACAATCAAAATTGAAGCTTTAAAAAATAACTTATTAATAAATGTTAATGAGGTAATTTCCTTTTTCGTTCAAAATCTAGCTGCCTAGCAATAAACTTATATTAGTAGTGTTACGTCGAAACCCAGATCCCCCTGCATGGGAGAGGTCAACGCCCTATGTCCAGAAAAACATCCTGTCTGGCAGGGGGATGAGGTGACAGGAGAGAGAGAGAAAGAATGTAAGAAAATGAGTTGAACAACGGTGACCAAAGAGAACGGTCGTGTGGCTAGTCCATCTTCGAGTTTGATGGCTGCCTAAATAAATGAGTTGAAAGTCTGTAACCAACGAGAATGGTTGCGTGGCCAGTACATCTTCGAGTTTGATCGCTGCCTAAATAAAGGAAATTAATTTAATTACAGTCCACTTCCATTTATTCGTGCGTGTGTCGAATATTATTTGAGTTTATTTTTGTGTGTCTGAGCTATCGAACAAATAGCATTCAGTAAAGACAATTTTTTACTTTTGTTTGCTAATGTAAAATTTTTATAAATTTAAACATTAAGGTTTTTGAAAGAAAGTCAAATAGTAATATATATTAGAATATTAACTGCAGTTTCATTTATTAATTCCCAGACTATCAATTAAGTAATTAACGACTGTGTAAATGTAAAATAGCTAAGTAATAAATAAAACTTTTAACGACTATAGTTAATTATGTAATTGTTTGGACATAAATAATTAACGCTGCAATTTTTTAGTACTTATTAACACAGATTGTATTTATTATGTAGATGAATTCATTATAAGCAATAAAGAATGCCATTAATATTTTGTACAAGTATTTTTATATAAAATTTCTCACATTTGATGTTATCACTTTGTAAAGTTATTTAAAAACATTCTTTGTAAGTTCAATGAAATTAGACTTCTAAATTGAATATTTAAATATAATTACTTATTTTTGGAAATTTAGTTCATCTATGCAGTTTGGTTTGGTTTGTCACTCTATAGTCATCTTGTGCATACGAGGGCTAAACAGACCGGGACCTACAGTTTAGAGTGGACTCCGAACAACTACAAACATCTATGGCACAGCCGAGACTTGAACCCAAAGCCTGTGGTACAGAGTGCTAGCCACTCGGCCAGCAGCTAACCTATCTATGGAGCAGAATTGATGAAATTAGACTTTCTGATACCAATTAAATTGTGTCTAAGAGAACGAATGATTTAAAATTTCAATTTTCATACTTGAGCTTGATACTGGTGTTGGTGGTACTAATCCCAGCTGGTCTAGTTGTGCTATATTAGCTCCATGGTCCGTGAACATCCAGGAAGTCGAAGAAAAGAACA